GCTCCATTCACTTCCCATCTGTTTCTGAGGCCACAAAACGCTGAAGCACATACCTGCTGAAATATTGGAGCAAATGTTCAGTGCTGGATGAAGAACTCTTTAAAAACAGTTGCTGGATGGGTTTTTGTTTCTGAACGACGTGTTGCGATCCGTGATCTTGAATAGGGTTGCAAAGGGGTGGAAACTTTCCGGTAAATTTCCAGAAACTTTCCAAAAAATCCATGGAATATTCCAAAAATAATCCTGGAAAGTTTCCCAAATTTCTGCAATATTTCCTAAATTTTCTGGACATTTTCCACCTTTTTGCAACCCTAATCTTGAACGAACAGAAGTCGCAGGTTGTTGTGTTTTTGTTTACACAGGTTGCGCGTCCATCTGCTGGTTTGTGGTTTTTGGCTTCACAGATGTTCTTTGTTGTCCTGTTGTTGCGCAGGATTTTTTAAAATCCTAAGAGTTAAATCTAGTTCTTTTTAGAGGGGGTCATAGAAGACCTGGAAATGTGAGGGATTTTTGTTTTGAACATTAATATTTATCAGGTTTAATCATTTAATTAATCATCTATAATGCTGTATATGTTTTGTTGTTCACATGTATGAGTTATTTTTGTGCTTCACAGCATTAATAATTTAAGCACATATGTAATAAATATAAAGAATATTATAGATTTTATTTAATTTGTAAAATTATGTATATATATATATATATATATATGTGTGTGTATATATATATATTGTGTTAATGTCATATTATATCATTATTTTAATATTATATAATAACATGGTATTATTTATTATATAATATTTGTATTTATGTGTTATAAGTGTTTGCATTAATTCTTCATTGTTCATATTATTTAATATAATTGTGTTTGTATATCATTATAATTATATTATGTATAATATTATATTATTTTTTAGATTTTAGTAGTATATTTATTTTATTTGCTACATTTATTTTATTATATATATATATATTATATGTGTTTGTATTAATTTGATACAAAATAATTTTTGTATTATAATGTACATTTTTTTTAGATGAATAAATTATTTTTATAACATATAATTCCTCTAGTAAACTTATATTTTTAAGTTCTACACAGCTCTTTTTGAAATCTTTATCCAGTTATCCAAAATCATGGAAAAGCATTGGTCAAAAGGTTTGGGAGCTGTTTATATACAGTCAGACGTTTGACATTTAACAGGTCTACTGTGTGTCTCATGTCAGGACGACAGCAGTTGGGCCTTTCCGGCATCCACATGTCCAGGTTTGAAATCCTTTTCCCTTTCCCTCGGTGTTGATAGAAGCTTTTCTGCCTGTCTGGCATGCCAATAATGGAAAGCAATCCGCTGTGAGTATTTAGATATGGATATGGTTTGTCCAATGTAATTAGCTTGGGCCAACTCAGGGGATCAAATCTGAGGCCGTAAAATAACTGGAAGAGACAGATGGCGGAAAGACGCGTCACTCCGCTCTGCCCCCGTTCGACAGCAGCCTCATCCAATTCCGTCTTGGATGACCACGGCAGAAGCTTTATTTGAACAGCAAACAGGAGAACGCTCCGATGTAAATATGTTTTATCAAGCCCAGAGAAAACAATCCGCTAAATCACCCGCCGCCAAAAACAAAGTGAGTCGCCGTGTCGCATTTCACGTCGATTCCGACAGAGGCCCTTTCCCTTTCAGAGGTGCAGATATGAATATCGTAAATGGGTTTGCTGGAAATATTTAATTCTGTATTCTTTGTATCAAATTTTCAGCTTCCAAATGCATTAGTCACAGCTGCAGCCAGACTTGACGGCTTTTCAGAGGTAAAATGTGCTCTGGATTCCAGATCCTGAATATTACCCTCAGTTTTATCCGAGAGCGTGAGATGGGTTTGAGGTCTGAGAGAAGCGCTCCAGCCTGATGTTTGATGTCAGAGCTGAAGAACTGTGGGACTCGTATCTGAGGAGCGCGGTGGCGGTGGCGGGAGGGAGCGAAAGTGGATATTTTTCGCACTGCGTGTCAGAGCCTGGCACCTGGAACTAGGTCATTTCTCCAGGAAGAGGCAGGAGTGAGAAGAGAGAGAGATTGAGATGGAGGGAGGCGGTGGAAACTGTGGGTTTGTCTTGCTTATCTGTAGCGGCTGTTAGATCACTGCAACTGATGCCTTTAATTGAACATAATAATAATACATAATAATAATGTCATGATATGTGATGTCATTGTGCACATTAGTGCAAGTTATTTTAACAGTTTGGTAACGCTTTATTTTAAGGACCAGATCTCACTATTAACTAGTTGCTTATTAGCATGCATATTACTAGCATATTGGTTGTTTATTATAGCACTTATAAAGCGCACATTAATGCCTTATTTTGCATGACCATATTCTAGATCCCTTAACCATACCCAACACCTAAATGTAACGACTACCATACTAATTAATAATAGGAAGCAAATTAGGAGCTTATTGAGGGAACTTATTCTTAGTTAATAGTTAATGTGTTTCCTAGTCTAACAGTTTTAAATAGTCGACCGATATTGATATTTTATAACCGATACCAATTATTTGCGTGTTTATGTGCCCGATAACCGATATGCAGAACCGATATTTATTTACTGTTATAAAGTAAATAAATGACTGAGTGAAGTAAGTCCATACTTCACTTTGGTTTTTCCTCCTCTGTCATCTTAAAAAAAATATATATATATTTTTTGAAAATTACCAGTCTTTTATGTTAAATTGAATCTTATTATTACAATAAAAAACATTTTAAGGCATCAGCAGCAACACTAATATTAGCAATAAGCAAAATATAAATTAGTTTCCATAGAGATGTATTTATTTAGATGTTTATTAGCTAAATAATGATTATATAGTAAATGTACAATTTAGGGTGTTTTAAACAAGTGAATCTTGTTAAAAGTTACATGCGGTGGCCGTGCTGGAGCATTTCCTTAGCATCAACCCGGTAGTGAACAGCAGTATGAAAGCGGCTTCACGAGACTAATGATGAGCAAATATACAACAGAGAGAGAAGTAAATTTTGCGTTTTTATTTCCAACATGCGCTCATTCATGGCTGTATTATTTAATTAATGCAAAGTTATGTCTTTATTGGGACAGGACTTGACGGATTATTTTACGTGACTCCGTGAGTTTGTCTCTATTTCTTCGAGCCAAGCTGCATAAACTACATATCAGGCATTTATGTAATACATCTAACTTGTGCATTAATGGCTGTTTTGTTAAATAAAGTTTACTAACTACAGTAAATCAAGTACCTGTGCACGCCGTTGTTGTTGTCTCCTCTCCCCTCAGACGCCGTGCTGCAATGGCGATCCTGAGCGCAATTCTCAAAACATCCACAAGATGGCGGTTTTTATCGGTGAATCCGATATTACAAAACCGATATCCGATTATTGTAAAATGCTTAAATATCAGGAAAAATATCGGTTTTTTAGGGTGACCTTTTAGGGTGACATCACCAAGGCCAGTTAATTTCAACCAATGGCTGCTGGTGGTGTTGCAACAAGGCAGTAGTTCTCCACCAATAATTGTAAAATCTGGTTTGCATAATCCAATCAATTCCTGACAGATAAAATTAAGTCTCGTTCTGTTGTTTTTCCTCTAACTGATTATCCTTTTTTTACCCAGAAATGTGCCATGTTGCAATTGCAATAATTTGCAAATGTTATTTCTTATAGACTTTTAAATTAGGACTGTAAAATGATAAACATTGTGGATATTTATTGTACAAATAATTATTAATTATTAAATCAGAGTAATCAGTAAATTTAAAAAGGAAAATAAATATCTGATGATATTTACTTTTAAAAGATAATTGAGCATTGAGTACTTAAAAAAACAACTTATAATTATTATAATTAAAAACTTTAGAATTTACTAAATAAATATTGCAAAATATTTGTATTTTTTGCTTTTTATATATATTAGTGCTGTCAAACGATTAATCGCATCCAAAATAAAAGTTTTTGTTTATAGAATATATGTGTGTGTACTGTATATATTTATTATGTGTATATATAAATACACAAACATACATGTATATATTTTTTAAATATTTACGTGTGTGTGTGTGTGTGTGTATATATATATATATATATATTCATATATAATTTATATTATATATAAATATTTTATATATAAACAAAACATATCTTTTTAAATATATAGATGCATGTGTGTGTATTTATATCTACATAATAAATATACACAGTACACATGAATATATTATGTAAATAAAAACTTTTATTTTGGATGCGATTAATCGCGATTAATCATTTGACAGCACTAATATATTTACATTACATTGTTTTATTTAAAAAAATTCAAATGTGAGTTTGGGCACTATAATGTAAGTTATGTAATGGATAACTATTTGTTCACGTCCTTGCATAGAAAAAGAGTGCACTAATTTAATTGGAACAAAATTAAGTAAAGGCTAGTGTCCAATGTTCAGTTATGTGAAGAAATTCAAGATTTTTTTTTCACTAGTAGTGTATTTGTTTCCAATTTCAGCAAATTGGACCAGTGCTGAAAAGAAGCTTATACTATATCATCATTATATAACTGTATGATGATGATATAGTCATTTTTCTAAGTATATGTAATTAGAACATATATTGTTATACAACTTTACATTTTTTCAGAGAGAGGCCCTAGAATTTCAGCAGCTCTTGAGTCATCTTTAAATATCTATTTAAAGTCTCTCTGTCAAAACCACAAGCAAATAATTTATGTCCCAGCACCACCCTCTTTCACCACATTAAGCTATCTGAGAGAATTACAGACTGAGAAATGAAAAAAAATACATCCTTGCAGGGAAATACATCCTTGCAGGGAAATTGATTGCTTTTGATAATCTTATGAGAGAGAGAACTGGAAAATTACTCTGTCAAACGATGCAGACTTGTTAACACTTTGAGGCATTATGTCTTGTATTGCACTCTAATTCTATGATTACGGGACATTGTTCGCTGTGTTGTCTCGCAGGAATTGGAAGGCAGGAAAAGCTTCTCAATAGAGTATCCGAGTGACAGGGCACACAAAGGCTGAGTCTTTTCCTTTGCCTTCGTTAATAGCACTCGCATAAAACCTGCTTAATAAACTTGGTCTTGTTTGCCCTGCAAGTATGAACCTCTAGCAAAGTTTTATAGAAGATTTTAGAGAAATGTGTAGATGTGTTTATTTTTGGTTTTAAACATTGACGTTCAAATGTCATCTATCTATCTAGCTAGCTCTCTGTCTCTCTATCTCTGTCAGTGTGTATATATATTCTTACCGTATGTGTGATTTTCTTATATATAAATCATACATACTGTAAGAATTGTGAGCAACATGAGGTAGATAAGATTTTCAGCTTATGAAAATTGTATGATTGACAGACCAAATGTAGATTATTTCTGCCATAGCATTTTAATCAAGTACTTTTTAAATTTAACCTACAATCTTCATTATAATACCTAATTATCAAAGATAATCACAAAGCCTTTTTTCTGAAATTTGCATTCAAAAATCTGAGGAAGTGTATGCTGTCTGAATTTGAATGGGCTTTTTTTTTCCTTTTTTTTTTTTTTTTTTAACTAAACTTTTTTTTTTTTCTTTTTTTTTTCATTTATTTAATTTGTGCATTCAAAAATCTGAGGAAGTGTATGCTGTCTGAATTTTAATGGGCTTTTTTTTTCCTTTTTTTTTTTTTTTTTTAACTAAACCTTTTCTTTTTTCTTTTTATTTGCAGTTAATTCAATTGAAAATTGTGTAATTGTATGTGATTTTGAAATACTGTTGTTTAGATATGTTTTAAGTACAACCCATTATCAAAAATATACCAATTGGGAGGCTGCCGGATTTTGACTTTCTCAAGGACTTTGAGTGAGCAAGATTTCATCCATCCAAAATTGGAAAGAAATGAATAAACAGAATCAGTCAGTCATGCACGGTTATTTTCTCCAGATGCGACCGTGCTCATCTTGCCAGCTGTATTTGGTGGCTCTGCCTTGTTTGTGGCTATATTGAAATCCGTGTTGAGTGACAATAGCTTCCTTCCCCCGAAAGATAATTAATTACTCTCCTAGCTGTGCTCTTGCGCTTTCCGAGATGTTTAGCATCGGCGGTGCCAGGAAGTGACGGATGCCATCGCGATTGTCTCCCTAGATGGATTTGTAAATGAATTGTGCCTGTTTTCAATAGCATGTCTATGAACAGCAGCACCATATATCCGAGCGTCCCTCAAGTCAGGTCGTAACAATAGGTGTTTTGTATCCCCCACCAGCTAAACACAAAGTGTATGTTTAACGTGAGTAGACATATTTTAGCACATGGGTGCAACGGAAATTTTCTGCATCTTCGCTTCTCCTTTGGCGCCTGTTCAGACTCTTAATGACTTTTACAGACATACTCAAGTTGTACTTAATCAAAACAGCCGAGTTGTTATTCCCATTCTGTTGTGCTGAGATTCTAACCTATTGTTTACTGTCTAGCTTTAGCTGGCACTGGCCCCAGTACAATCTACTGGTGGGCTTTTATCTGAGCTGACCATATTTTGTGTGCACAAGTGCACGGGGACAATCTTCACCCTCTTTTGTCGTGGTTTAATGGCTGTGGTGGCAACCCGACACACTGCCTCTTGTGTTTGTCAGCGCAGCGCCGGCGTCAACTTTACCTCTCAACTCTTTGCCCAAGTATTATTTTTAGCTTGCCAGTCACCGCCAGCATTTTCGACCATATTCACCTTTTTTTTGGGGGGAGTCTTTGTCCTAAAGTGTGGTGGGGATGGGAGTGGGGTGAATGTTACATCTGCTTTAACTATTACATAAAAAAATAATTTTGGGATCCTGAAGTGCTGTACTATATCTGTAACAGCGCCCCCTACTAGGGCTGTGCGATATGACGATATATATCGGATGGACGTAATAAAAAGTCTATTGTTTTGTATTATGCTCTATCGTTTATTTCGTGGTGTCGCAAAATACATTGTTTACAGTAATAGCCTACTTTTTCATCATTTGGATGACTGCGATCTTTACACGCCACCATGGGGCGTGAATCGGAGACAGAACCAGGTGGAGAACGACCAGCCAAGACAAAACGAGGAGCTCGTTCCTAAACAAGGGACTACATCTGTAGCATGGACACGCGTTTTTAAGCACTGCAGTTTTAAAGCAACCGATTTCAAACAACAGAGCTATATGCGTGCGCCGTCTCTGTTTCTGTGTGAGAGGAGCACACATTTTTTGCCGCTTTATTGGCTTTGAACGATTACACAAACACACTTATATGCGTCATCTATGATGAAAATTACAGGCCTCTCTCATCTTTTTAAGTGGGAGAACTTGCACAATTGGTGGCTGACTAAATACTTTTTTGCCCCACTGTATATAACAGTATATTGGATCCGGACTTCGGCCTTAAAGGGGAAGCTGTCCAATATTTGTCCTGTCTGCCATTCATATTAATCAAACAACAGTGAGAAAATCTCTCACTGCTCTCAGTGTTTCCCCTGGGTTTACGGCTTTGGGGGGTGATCCGTTTTCTTTTTTTTTCTGGACTCCTTTTTACTGGTTAAGTTACATGTTATTAATCAAAAAGCATGTCTAATTAATTAAAATAATGAAACTTGAACAATTTAACATCAATTTATTAAAAGTTTAACAAATATTACATGTTTAGGGCCCTATGAAATGTTTTATTTTTCCAACCTTATGTTTTATTGTAACCAAATTCTGTTTTAGCATGTCTAATTATTTGAAAGCTTATGATTTTTCTGCTCAGAAATTCTGTGTTGTGTATTTACATTTTGTTTTAAGGCATAACACATTCATTTAATCTATCTTTTAAGTAATGAAAATTAAACACAATTTTTTGGGGGAAAATAAAGGTCATTTAATATTACAATTAAAACATTGAATAAATATTGAATGCTTATTCCTTAAAAATAAGGTTTTAATAATTTTAGTAGTAGTAGTAGCAGTCTGTTACGTACATTCTACTCAACAATAGTAATATATTTCTGCCAATGCCCTCAAGTTAAACCGAACTTTTATTTTGACAGGTTGCCGTGAATACCTTTTAGATTTCTGTGTGTGTATGATATGAGGATAGTTTTACTCAGATGAAATGGTCAGATGGTCATGAAGTGACTCTCAGAGCAGTTCTGCAGATGTTGTTCATGTATTTATGTCCTCATTAGTGAGACAGCAGATGCTGAAATCACCGCAAGCGTCACGAGCGTTTCAGTACGAGTGGTAAACAAAACAGCGCATCTGCGCCATTCATTATCACAGAGACACGCAGAATTCATTTTTAAATATGAATCATTTTGCAGCTTAATATTTACAAATACGAGTGGGAGTG